AGGGACAGCTTTCTTGGCAATGGCAAGCTCCGACCACATATAGATACCCTATTTTGGAACAAAAACCAAAGCATTATATCGGGCAACATGAAGGCTATAAATTGAACCCTTAAAATGGACATCAGCTGTTCCAGATGCTTTTAAGGCCTTAAAAGAGGCCTTGACATAGGTTCCTGCATTAGAAATCAGCTTTCACATTCCAGTTACACAGGAAATTGCCAAGACACTGAGAGTTAAATATCATCTCCACACTGCATGGAAACCCTAATCATCAAAAAAGATTGAAAGGGACAATAAAAACTCTCAAATGAACCTTAGCCAAGCTGTGTCAAAACACTCACTGTAAGTAGACAGATCTCCTTTCCAGTGGCATTAATGAGACTCTCAAATGCTAACTTAATCTCAGCCCACTTGGGATCCTTCGGGGGGACCCTTTTTGACATCTGATCTGCTCACTCACACTACAACCTTCTAACTCCTTCCACATGGAACCCATTTAGAAACTTTCCAATAAGTTCTCCAGGAACATAAAAATAAGTTTCTTCCACTCCCAGAGACTAACAATAATTGTCAGGCTGTTCTGGTTTGTGTCTAGATGTCCCTTCAGAGCCTCATGCTGTCATAGAGGACAGCCCTTCTGAAGGTGGCTAAATCTAGAGTCTGTGATTGGTTCATTAGCTAGGGCTGGATTTGGGGTATGAATCCTACACCCACCCCAGCGCAGGTAGCCTGCATACAATATAAGGGAGGGAAAGAGGCTTGCTTTTTGTCTTTGCTCTTTTTGCTTTTCGTATTTTTCACCACTATGAACTGTTGCCCTGTGCCATGAGCCACCCTGCCATGGACTCAACTGATTATGGACTGAAAGCTCCACAAAATTTGAGCTAAATAAACATTTCCTTTCTTAACTTTGGGAGTCAGGTATTTTGTTGCAGCAATGAAAGAAAAGTGACCGTGACATAGTCCAAAGTCCACCCTGGTGACCAAGTCCTAAGAAAGACCTAAAAAGAGGGAGGACCCCAGGACTAACTCTCATCCAAATAAAAGGCCCTTGCACAACCCTGTGAACCTCCCCTTCTGCCATTAAGGTACAGGGAATAGTTAGACTCACCTCTCTAGGATAAAACTCAAGCCACCTGAGACACCAGAAAACAAACAAAAAAAGGTTGGGTGGGGGACAGAAATTTTCATATACCTGTAAACCAGTGGGCATTTTCAAATTTGTTTTAAAAACAAAAAACTACTCTGGTGAACCAGATAAAACAGTTTGCTTCCTCTAAATCGATTGTGTGAATAATCTATTATTTTGTTTACCATTCTTAAGGTCCCTGTTCCCAGTTATAATATCTTTTGGGTTGTTCCTGTTTCTTAAGAAATCATACTAGGTTTATTATCTAATAAAGACAATAAACAGTGTTATCTAACACTGATAATAAACAACTACTACTTGTATGAATCCTTAAAGCTAATCAGTTTTGCTATCAGTAGCCCCCCTAAAAAACAGACAAACAGCCTAGACAATGTTTCCCAAAATACTGTCTTCCTTCAAGACCAGATAGACTCACTAGGAGCAAAATTGTAGGGGTCTAGATCTCCTAACAACTAAAATAAGTTGCTATATTTGTCCCTAAAAAAAGTTCTTCCTTGTCATTAAGTCCACCAGAACTTTAAAAAAAATACTGCACAAAGACTGACTGACCCACTGAACATGGTGGCACACGCCTGTAATCTCAGCACTTGGGAGGCTAAAGCAGGTGGATCACTACAAATTTAACACTAGTCTGGGCTACATAGTGAGTTCAAGTCCAGCCTGATCTACATAATGAGATTTTGCATCCTAAAACAAATAAACAAAAGCAAGCAACAGCAACAACAACAACAAAAAAAACCTAAGAAGCAAACAAAAAACTAACCTTGCTTCCAAAATCCATTTTTAAGAAGATATTTTCCCAGGTCATCTGGAAAAGAGTCACAGAAAATATCTACAGTCTTTCAGATAGAGGAAGTATATGTGTCCCCATGTGGATTGTGAGACTGATGGCGAATCTGCCACCAGTTGATTGGCAGCCTCTAACAACCATTATGTCCATGCTATCTTTTCTAATAGATCAGAACAGTCTTTGGCATTTGGTATGTGACTATTGCTCAAGAGAGAGAATTGAAAGCCATGTATATTCACAAGAAAGGGATGGAGTTCACATTTGTTGCCTTGTCTACTGTTGATTCCTATTTGCTGTTACAGTCTGTAAGTGAGCAGTGTCCAAATGCACTGTGTCTAAAGGAACACCATATGACTTGACATCCAGTGACCAGCTATATTGATGACAGCATGCTAGTCAGACCTGGTTCAGAGTAGATGGCAAGCACTTGGAAGGACCTGGCAGGACATATGCGTGTCAGGGAGGAAGATGTAAACCCTCAAGCTTCAGTGTTCAGCCACCAGAGTGAGGTCTTTTATATCCAGTGGACAAGACATAATGTCCCCTTGTGTCCTCAGACCGCATCTCTGCATCTTCTTCCCTGCAGGCAGAGAGTTTCTCATGTAGCCTCTGGTTATGCCTACCTCTGCTGACCCCTCACGCTGTATGTGTTGACCTTGTCAATAGGACACAGCAGAAATGAAGTCACTTTTGAGATGATGTTGAAAAGAGGCTGTACTTTTGTGTATGCCCCTTCTTGTTCACTTGGAGAGACACCATGTGCCGTGTTTGGAGTGGCCCTTGGGATTCTGGCAGCTGTGCCCTGCAGCCCTCAGTCCAGTGTCTTAGAGGACTGAATCTTAGTACCTGAGTGAGTCTTTAGAGTAGATGGTCAGAGAGCAGTCTCCAGATATAACTATAGCTCAGGCAGACATTCTAGCTATGCCTTTGCCTGTAACAGACCTGGTGGGAAAGGCAGAGCCAAGCTTCGCCTGCAGTCCTGACCCAAGAGATGGAAGAAAACAAATGTTCTTCATTGTTAAATTTTGTTTTCATTTAGGACGCAGAAATGAACATAAGTAGTTTTTTACCATTAAGTGGGAGTGTTGCTTCTCTTGCTTAGTGCCTTTAGTTGTTAGAGGTCACCTATGTCATCTTTCATATGACCACAACTAATTGGTTGGGTAGTTTGGATGTCTAATTGATTGCTTGATTAACTGATTGAGTGCGGTTCTGGGGACTGACCCCAGGGAGTGCTGAGCTACAATCTGACCTCTTTTATATTTTTCATTTTGAGACGGGTCTTGTGGAGTTTCCCAGTGTGGCCTTGAACTTGACAATCTCTCATCTCAGCCTGCTAACAAGCTGAGATTACAGATGTGCACCCCTACACCTAGCTGATATTGAGTTCTGAGTCAGGTTCACATCAAGAGAACACTCTGCAGAATGTTGGGCCTCTAATGCAGGCTGCCCTGCATCTGCAAGACTCAGCATCACATGTATGCAAACACCAAGAAGTCTTGTGTTTTGGAGTGAAGCCAGGCATTCTGCCATGCAGGATCACCTACCATGCAAGGAGAGCTGTCTGTGTGCTACTGCAGTGACTGAGACCTGCAGTGACCAAGACCCTGACCATTAGACCTCACATTGACAAGTGATTGAAGATACCTCTTGTGATTCAGGAGTTCATTTTTCAGTATGAGTGGATCATTTACCAATGCACTTTGCAAGAAAATCATACACTGTTTTTCCTGATTTTTGACAGTGTTCCTTTCACCAGATGTAGTGGCACATACTTCTAATCTCAGCCCTCATTAGGCTAAGGCAGCAGGATATTGAGTTAAAGGCCAGCCTCTATTACACAGCAAGACTTTTTTCTCAAAAAAAGAATAAAAAAGAAAAAAGTTGTCATTTTAGGTACACAGCTAATTTCCATGGGGTGCTAGATGTAATCCATAAGCGATTATAATTTGAGGCAAGCTATATCACATTCTCGAATTTGCTTTTTCTCCTCTTACCTATCTAGTGGTGCCAGTAATAAATCCTGACTCTCAGAAACACAGTTTCAGATGTTCAGGTGAATTTCAGTGAGTCCCCTAAGGGCTAGTCTACTACTGCTATCAATTGTTCTCTATTCTGCAGCTTTTCCCAATCCAAAGATGGGACCTCTCTTTAAAGTCCTGTTCAGCACTTCTGCTTCCTAGCTGCCTCTTCAAGAACCCACTGATCCTGAGTGAAAATGGCCGTAAATGTCAGGCTAACATTCTTTGGTTCTCTTTTTCTTCTGATTGTTGGCTTTGTAGTATTTTATTACTAGAGTACCACTCACAACATAAACCAGGATTTCTTTTTCCTTTCCTTTCCCTTTCTTTCCTTGTCTTTTACCTTGCATCCCTTAGGAGAATGAGCCCAGAATTCTTTTTTCAATGCTGGGGAATAGAGCTAAGGACCTCACATATGCCAGGCAACCAAGTGCTCTATCACTGAGCTACAACCCTAGCCTTAATTTACTATTTATTTATTTATTTATTTATTTTTATTATTTTGAAACAGAATCTTACTAACTTGCCCTGGTGGGACTCAAATTTGAAACCTCATTGCCTAAGCCTCTCCAGTAGCTTGGATTACAGGCGTGTGTTACCATGCCCCACAACATTATTATAAGAATAGAAGGACTAAACAGAATGTTGATCTTAGCATTAGGGCTGACCTCAGCCTTGATCGTGCCAGCCCAACCCAATGTCCGCACTGACTTCAGGTGACCTGTCACCTGAGCTGCAGTGTAGGTCAGCGTTCCTAACTGTTGACCTCTTAAATGTTGGCAGGCGCTACTGTAGCAATCTAGTATTTTTTTATGATTAGTCCGTCTGCATACTCGTGTTTTAAAAATCAGCAGGAGCAAGACACCAACACAGTTAGAGCCCAAACACTGAGCGCGGAGCGGAGCTACCTAGCACTCTGGCAAGCGTCTGCGGAACAGCACGTTGCCCTGGCAACCCGAGGCTCTGGGTAACTAACGTCTCCTAGAGATGACGCCATCTCCGCACGCCCAGGCTGGGCACAGTCTCAGAGCAGCAGCCACTTTCCATTGGCCAGTGGAAAGACGTAGGGCAGTTCTTGCCCAATGGGAGGAGCCAGTTGCCTGGGGGCGGGACTGGCGCGTACCTGAAGCACAAGGCCTGTGGGAAACCCGCCTAGACTGTGAGCTACTCCAGCGCTGGTGAGTGCAGGTAGGTGCGTGACCAGTTCCGGACACGAGTGTGTAGGGCGGAGGCCATTCGAGAACCTGAGAGTTTAGAAAGCGTTTCGCGTGAGAGTGACCGTGACCGCTCTGCTTGGATATGCGGAGCCTTTTCAGTGGCGCGCGGGCGGCTCCGAGAAGGCGAGGTCTCCCAGTCGGTTCTTGGCTGGCCTGTGCGCGAAAGCTTAGCTTTACTGGGCTCCACGTGCCCCTCTCTGCCAGGCTGTGGGGGTCTTCTTGGTCTGTAGTTGTGATTAGTACTGTGAGCTCTCATTACTTCCTGAGGTTTTTCGTTGCTTACTTTGTACGGTAAGCACGCTCTGCGTTTCTTTTCATGATTGCTTTTCGTCCGTTCGTTAGTTCTTTGACTCAGAAAATGGTCCTTAGATTTCTCTTATGTCGGGCCTTGTTCTGATGGAGCGAACAAATAAGTGACACACCTCTGATGTAGTGCTTTCTAAAGAAGACAAGGCAAATCAGTAAGATTACACAAAAGATGATATAAGTGCCACGGAGAAAAATGAGGATGGGATGGAGTATGGAGAAGCGAAGCAGATGCAAGAGTTAGATTCTCTTGGTAGCTACAACATTGAAGTAGAGGCAACAGGTGTGGGGACCAACAGAGATCCCCGTGTGCCAGGAACCAACTGAAAAAAGAGAAGGAGAAGAGGTGAAGGCCCAGAGATAGGGTTTAGTGATGCTGCTGAAATTTTGACTTTTCCAAGGGACAAGGGAAGTCTTTGGGAGTTTTCAAGCAAAGGAGCCACATACTCTGACTTGGATGTTTTAAAGTTATTTGGGGTGGTTTGTTGGGCATCAGCTGGAGAGGCCAGGGAAGAAGTGGTTCTGAACTGGATGTGAGATGAGGTTCTGGACCAAGATGCTAACAGAAGGGGTTGTGAAAAACAGATTCTGGATACAGTTCCAAGATGCAGTCACCAGGAATTAGTGGTGGTTGGATGGTTGTGTGGTAAAGCAAGAGAAGTTGTGGATAGCACCAAACTTTGACTTAAACTAAAATCTGTATATTATCAGATGGTTGTTTATCAAGAGGCAAACACTGCAGAAGATGTGCTGTTTGGAGGATAGTCAGGAGCTGTGGTTACGATGAGTGAGGTCTGAGATTATGTGGGTATATGTGAGACATGTACCTATCTATATAGCTATACATGAGGGTAGCTGGTCTGGTAGATGACTGAGAATAAGCCTCAAATGCTGATATTTTAAAGCCACATGGTCTAATGTGCCCATACCGCCTCCACACATAACCACATAGCAACTGTTAGGTGATGAATGTGTTAATTCTCTCGGTTGTTGAACTCAGTTTACAGTGTACATGTATATCAAATCATCACATTGTGTACTTTGAAAGTATACGATTTTTGTTTATCAGTTATGCCTAAATAAAACTGAAATGAAGAAAACGTATAAAGCCACACACAAAGGGCACAAAGAGGCTAAGATTTGGCCTGGGGTCTTCAGGCTTCTAGGTCAGGGCCCTAGAACTATTATAAAACTAGGAGAGTGTGCTGTCTGTGCTGGACAAGTAAAAATGCAAGTCAAGGGAGAAGACACAGCAACAGTCATCTACTTCCTGTTGGGTTAGATAAGTTTCATACTGTGAATCAGCACTGGGTCTTAGCTACATGGTTGTCATTGTGGTAAACAGGCTGGGAACTGGTGTGAGAGAGGAGGAAAAGAATTGTTGGGAAATGAGGTGTACATTGAAGTGCTAGAGTCATGACAGTGGTTAGGTAGAGGAGATTGTATTTTTTTAGGAGAAGAGAAGACCTAAGGCTGCAGGAGAGACAAGTACTTCCAGTGATGCCTTTAGGGGTTGCAGGGTGGGTAGGCCAGCACAGGCCGAGGTGCTGGCCTGGATAGGAGCACACAGTGCTAGCTAGCTAGATGGTGTGCTCAGAGCTTATGGAAGTTCCCCTGAGTGCTTCTGTGTTCTCAGTGCTACAAACTAAGGTTGTCCACTGAGAACAGAGAAGTTGGAGGTGTTGTGGGAGGGTCAGGAGAGGTGAAGGAATGAGTCCAGGAGAGTGGCTGGAGTGGGGACAGGTGGCATAATCACCATGCAAGTCTGATTTTTTCCCTTCAAGCCTGTAAGCCTGGTCCCATGGGTTTTCTGGCCTATAAAAGTTCTAGGCTGGTTGTAGGCACACTAGCAAGCATAGGTACAGGGGTAAACTTTTAGGGAGAGAGAGGAAAGAGACACAAGGGAGTTGAGAAAGCTTGTGTAAGGGAGTGATTGTAACAATGGGGTGTGGAAATTAAACTGTACAGGGGAGAACGGAGAGGATTACAGATGTTGGAGAGGATTATAGATGTTGAAATGTAGCAGAGCCTTTAGATTGCAGATCTTAGTGAGATTGAAAGAGTACTGGATTCCAGAGTGCTGGAGTAAGGGGCAGCTGGAGACACAGGAGGTGAAAAATTGGTGGTAGATGTTTGACTCTGGGATGATGGTTGGCTCAGAGCAACTGTGGTCACCCGTTTCAGGTAGGCCTTGGGAGGGAAGGGTAGAGTGGGTTGTGTGGAAGGTCACTAACCTAGATGAACAGTTCAGAGTGTGGCCTAAGACCGGAGGGCCACAACTGTGCTCCGTCCACCGACCTCTTAGAGGTCTGCTGGTAGCAGGCCCAGATCCACCTTGAAGGCCTTTGCCTTGACCTATGGGGGTTGTGCCCCACAGGACCTGTCCAGACCAAAGCAGAGGTAATGTGGATGATCTGGGTGAGAGGTTTTGTAGAGATGCTTTCCACGCCTTCACATCTGCAGCTTTTCCTGCTTTTGTTAACTTGACCTGAGCCATGGTAGAAGCTAGGCTCCTGGCTCTCCAGTTTGTCTTAAGCTTGTCTCTCCCTAAGCCATCTGCTTCCTCCTGGTGGAATTGTCTGTTTGCTTCCTGAAGACTTTTGAGCTGTATTTTAATTTTTTCTTCTGCTTTTATTGTGAAAATTCCAGAAAAGTTAAAAAAAAAAAAAAAAACCAATAAGCGTTCTTATCATCATACTTTATAAATTATTAATAATATGATGTATTTTCCTTCATGCATAGTTGTCTAGTTTTCTTACAAAATGAGAGTTATACTGCATTCCCATAGATTTATAGACAGTGTTGCATTTTATGATGTGTTGCGTTTACCCACATGACTAAATGTTCTTTGAGATCACAGTTGCTAATCGTTGTGTGAGAGTGTTGCTTGCACAAGAGTCACTCATTTACCCAGGATACTACTGCTGGACAATTATGGTTGTTCAGTTTTTTCCTATTAGAGATAATATTGCTGTTACTATCCATGTATACATGAATCTCTGTCCCTGATTATTTTATTAGGGTGAGTTCTTAGAAGTGGAATTCCTGGGCCAAAGCACTTGATAAATGTTCTAAAGCTACCTTTTAGAACGGCTATATCAATTTGTTCTCCTATTAGACCATGATAAGATCCCTTTTCACCATTCTCTGGCCAGTACTATACAATGTAATTTTATGTCAAAATTCACTTTTGTGGCAATATTAGAGGTTGAATTCATAGCCTTTGCACTGAACCACATCTCCAGCCACCCTCCCCACTTTTTTTTTCTTTTTTTTTAATTTAAGACATGATGTAACTGAGTCCTTAAATTGCCCAGGCTGGACTTAAACCTGCCAGCTTCCCAGAGTGCTGGATTACTAGTGTGTCCCACCATGCCCAGACTAAGTTGACAGCTTTTTAAAGTATCTAACTAGCAAAGTCACACGTGCATGTAACTACAAAGCAGATGCTAGATGACCTGCAGACAACCTCCTCTCTTTGAAGTGTTGAGCTAACTGTAACCCATGACTGTTTCTGTTGGAATTACTTCTGTTTATAAATAGCACCTTGTATGTAATGTGTGATTGTTCACTGATTTTAGAAGCACTTCATTGGTTTCCTGCTCTGTTGGGAAGTTGTACCTCAGTTTCCTCATCTGTGTGCCGACTTCAGGATCACAAAGCTGACTGGACTGAGGCTTGTAAAGTGGGCAGGACCTGGCCCTGTAAGGTCTCTGTGTGACACCCCATAGTGATGTCAGTGTCAGTGGAAATAACTGGTAGCTATCTAAGCAGCCTCGACACCCCCTTATTATCGTCCACTCAGCTGCCAAGTGGAGGGGAAAGCTTAGTTTTGCATTACCTCAGAAATTAATGTGAGTCACTGGATGTCTGCAGAAAGGCCTGTGAGGAAATGACATGGTCACTGTTCATGACATGGTCACGGTTCAACCGTGATGCCAGGCTACCCATGCTACTGGTGCAGCCACAGAGCTCTGTCTCTGCTGTAAACGTGACGAACTATGTCAGTGGCACAGAAATGGCTTTCTGCAGGCATCTATGCACACGCATTTCCTCCCATTTATAATTTTTTTGAACAGCACTCAAGTGTTACATTTTTAAATTTGTAGTAACTTGAGACAGATTTTCTTATTTATTTTCTTAACACTAATTTGTGGGGTTCTGCAGCCATCATTACTTCTAACTTTAGCACGTTTTCTTTTTCCACAAATACACCCTGTACCCATTAGCAGTCACTCCCACTCTCCTCACCTTGCCCTTCCTCTAAAATACCGCTAGCTGCTTTCAGTCTCTATGATGCACTTACTCCAATTTCTTCCTGTGGGTGGAGTTACAAGTAATATAATTTCTTTTTTGGTGGTCATTTAGGTTGTTTCCACTTTTAGGATATTATGAGTAATACTGCTGTGAATACTAGAATACTTACTTTTATGTGGATGTGTTCATTTCTTTTGTATATGTACTAAGGGTTAGAATTTCCTAGGCATATGGCTAGCATATATTTTTTAATTTTTTTGTTGTTATTTGTTTGTTTTTGGTACTGGAAATCAAACTCAGGACCTAGCACCTGCCAGACAGGCGCTATGCCACTGAGCTAAATCCCTGGCATATATTTTTAATTTTTTAGTAAATATTAAAATGTTTTCCACAGTGCTGCATCATTTAGATCAACAGTAAAGGAGAATTGCAGTTTCTCCACCCTGATCAATTGTTACTGCTGTCAGTTTTCTTTCTTTTTTTTTTTTTTTTTTTTTTTTTTTATTTGAGGTCTGTTTGTAACCCAGGTCAACCTTGAAGTCCCAGTCCTCCTGCCTCAGCCTCCCGAGTACTGTGAATACCTGCTTTTGATATCAGACCTGGCTGTCATCTTTCTTTTTTTTTTTTTTTTCTTGCAGTATTGGGGATCAACTCCAGGCCTTTGTGTACTGAGCTACATCCCCAACTCAGACTGTCATTCTAGCCATTTCAGTGAGTGTGAAGTGGTATCCCTTTTGATTTGCACTTCCTAGATAACTAATGAAGTTGGGCATCTTTGATATGCTTCAGTATGTGTTAGCTGGGTGTGGTGGTGCATGCCTATAATCCCAGCATTCCCGAGGCTTTAGGCAGGGAGATTGCTATGAATTCAAGGCTAGCCTGCGCTATACAATGAGTTCGAGGCCAGCATAGCGAAACCTTGACTCAAAAAGACATAAATAAATAAATAAATAAATAAGTGACCTTTGTTCATTCTAAAATTTATTATTGAGTTGTGGTTCTTCACATTTTTACACAAAAGTCTCTTGTCATATATATGATTTGCACATACTTTGATACTGCAAGATGTCAATTTACTTGCTGGCACTGTTTGAAACACAAAAGTTTTCAGTTTTTCTGTAGTCCAATTTCTGTTTCTTCTTTCATTGCTTTTACTTTTGGTTTTGTATCTAAGAGACCTTTGCCTGTGAGGTCATGAAGATTGTGCCTGTGTTTTTTCTAAGAATTTTATATTTTAGCTCCAAATTTCTGATCCATTTTAAGTTAATTTTTGTGTACAGTGTGAGGTATGACTGCATTCATTGTTTCCTTTGTGGCTATTTCCTTGTCCAGCACACTGTTGAAGAAACAGTGTGTCTTGGAGTTGTCTGGGCACCCTTGTTGGAAGTCAGTCCACCAAAAATGAAAGTAGAAGTTATTTTCCACAACGGATGCTCATTGTTGTCTCTGTTGAATCACTGTCTCTTAGAACTATTAACAGAAACTGCTCTAGCCAGGTGTAGTGTCATAGGCATGTAATCCAGCACTCAGAACACTGAGGCAGGAGCATTTCCATGCATTCAAGGGCAGCCTGGGCTACATAGTGAGTTCAAAGCTAGCTTAAAGTACCTAGTGAGACTGACTCAGAAAAACAACAACAACAGAACCCTGGTCTATAATATGAAAGTGGATTTTTTTCCCTTTTTAGCACGTAGGCTTAGTGATTATATTTTTTGATAATTCACAGAATGAAGAAAGATTTAATTTTTGCAGTAACTGTTGTATAAGTATTTGCCAGACATTCCTTATTTCCATAACAAGGTAATTGACCCATCCTAGAGTCTGTGCTTCTATGACCCTGTGTCAACAGTCTCTCCTTCTTTCAGTGTTTCTCATTACACTGCTAATTGAAATTTCTAGCCTCTGGCTTCATATACTTTTTAAAGACAAGGCTTAATTTAAAAACATTGAGCTTGGAATTTTCTGATTCCGGGATAGAATATTCTCTAAACATGTTGTAACCAGTGACATGTGACAGCCCTGTGTGGGACAGAGAGTCACCCTGTTGCTAGCTTGCTTGGTGTCCCAGGTTCACCTTATACTCCTGGCTCTTTGTCACCAAGAGTCTAATAAGAGTAGTGTAGGGCCCCACATCTGACCTCTAGGGGTGTCCACTACCCTTTTCGTATGATCATCATCTTTTTTTTTATTTTCTGCAGTACTACAAATGAAACCTAGGCCTCATACATGCTAGAAAACACTTTCCCGCTGAGCTACAGCCCCAACTTGATCATCCTTTTCACATAGTCACCTTTCCATAACTCTGTCCTACCTTATGTTTTTGTTTTGTTTGGTTTCAGTAGTAGCAGCAGCCAGCATCTGTCCCTCAGTGCAGGACTCCACAGCCCTATCCCCATCCCCTTGTGTCTCCAGGCTCCTGGTACACATGTTGTCACACAGTCCTGCAAAGGAAATTGGCTTTATAGTTCATGGACTTCTTTTTAGGTTTGGTGTTTGGTTTGGTTTGGTTTGGTTTGGTTTGGTTTGGTTTGGTTTTAACATGAGTTTTATATACTCTAACATAGAGCAGAATGGGGAACCAGCAGAGACCGCTAGGCTTACATGAAGGCAACATGGTGTGGAATTTATTGTACCTAGGTACAGTCAGAGAGCAGAGTAAAACCTACCCCAAGCAAAGAGAAGCATGTCCCTTTTATAGCGATGGAGAGAAGGCAGGGGACATTAGGCCAGAAAATTTTAATAAACAGTTGTGGTCAAAGTTCTCTGTCAGTCTTGCACCTCAGTGGGCAGGATCCCTGAAGTCTCTGCTAAATTCTCAGGTGTCTCTAGACGTCCCAGATGTCCCAGAACGTGGAAAGTTCCTTGTCCTAACTTATCTCCTTTCCTGTGCTTATTGATGACAACTTGGTACGGAGCTGAGTTCCCTGCAGAGAGCAGTGCCTCTGCTGGCAGGCAGGATGAGGACCGGAAGAGTAGACAGATGCAATTTGAACCCTACCTATACTACTCTGCTTGAGACAGTAGATGTGATTAGAGGCATGTCATACCTCTCATTGCGGTCTGGAATTGGTCTTGGTGGTTGATCAGGCCGGGGCTACCCAAGGCCCGGAGGAGACAGCCCAGGTTCCCCAAGTCCTCAAGGCCAGGTATGGCCAGATGTCCTTGTCAGGGAATGTGACTCACCACAGCTTGTGTGGGAGTATGGTCCAGCATAATAGAAAATTTAAAAAACCAAACAGTATTTAATAGGCAATAGGAATCAGAGAATAGGCACATTTTCACCTCTGGAAATTTATAATTTTGTCACTAAATATAGTATGTGTTAATCTTAAGCATTTTGTATTCATGTTTAGTTAGAAATATAGACTATATAATGTATGTATTAATTATAGCTAAGTTAAATAAAAATACTCAGAAAACAGAAAATCACCAAACTGTTAAAACAGTGATGAGCTAGATGTTTGACTTTTATGTATCTCCCACACTTTATGAATTACCTTTGAATTTCTCTTATGATGGGAGAGTATTCTTCTTTATTAAAAATACTGTCTCCTAAGACCTGTTATTCCCTATGCATTTTAGCACTGTGCTTTCCTTTGTTGCAGGATGGTAAAACAGAAGAGAAAAAGTTCTGAAGCGACAAGGAAAAAGAGCAAAAAACTAAAGAAAGCGTCAGGGGAAGACGTACCACGGGCAGCTGAGGCCACAGCAGATGAGCAGGAAACCAGCCTGGAGGTAAGGCTCTGTGGTGCCTGTTTTGAGAGAAGACCGTATAGGCTGCATGTGGGGCTGCTCATGGCACCCAGAAGCCGTCACAGGACCAGGAGGAATCTAAGTGAATGTTAGGTCAGAGTGCTTTACTACCTGGTCAGCTGCCACATCTACAGACTGCCAGGTAATGCCATGTTTTACGTGGTACTGTGAGCTGCTAGACTAGCCTGGCGAGGGCCCTGAAATGTCAGGAGCCTGGAATGGTAAGGGCCTGGAGTGGGCCTGGGCTGTGCTGGCAGGAAAGGGGCATCATGTGCAAAAGGGGAGACTTCCTCATTGTGAGGCTCACGAATGAACGCATGAGACCAGTGTAAACCCTCAGATCAAAAAGTGTTCATTCATGTGCTGAGAGTTTGAAACTTTGTAAGAACAGTGCTTTTAGAACTATATGCAATGGATTGTACACATGATTTCAGACTCACCAAGATGGTGCTTGCGCAGTCTCTTCCTGAGTTGGCATGCTTCTGTTCTCTATCCTGTACTGCTTGTCTTCCACGATGATACGCATGTACATTTTTACTTGAACCCACCTAGTTGAGTAGTGAAATTTTATTTCTGTAATGTGCTGTCTTTTTAGTTAGTACTGTGTAGTGATCAAAACAGTATATTATCAGTTTTCTCAACTTATTCTACATAAATAAGACCTAGGTAGATACACATCATGCTTTGGCAGGACTCATGTGTACACATGTCGCAGGTTAAACCCAGGGTGTTGGACATGCTAACTAGGCATTGTACCTCTGAGCTGTGTCCCACAAAATATACTTTAAGATCTACTTTTAAGTGGCAACTCGATTAGGCCTCTCTTTGGTTTCTTTGGAAAGAAGAATAAGAAAGCACTGACTGGCACGTGAGTTTGTTCCCTTTTGTGGCATGACACCACTATTTCAAGCTTGCCTTCATGTGGTGCCCCAGAAGTCATTGTATCTAGGGGTAGGGGTGTACCACAATAGGACTGGGAAGTAGATGTTATTTCTTTCATAAAACAAGAGAAGGGGGGCTGGGGATTTAGCTCAGCAGCATAAGCGCCTGCCTTGCAAACAGGCAATCGTGAGTTCAATCCCTGGTACCAATAAAAAGAAAAAAGAAAAAAAAAGAAAAAAAAAAAAAAAACAAGAGAAGGGTCCTCCTGATGTGGGGACCTGACTCCTCGACTAGATTTGACTAGACTTTGTTCTGAGGACTTCAGCAGTGTGCACTGTCCATCAGGCTGAAGGCATTCTCTGACCCCTGTCTTAATGCTCTCAGGAGATTTGTGCCCAAGCTAGCGCTGGTCACTAGGCCTCTCTCCAGTTAGGCAGTTGGAGCCTTTGAGATATAGTGTAACACAGCGTGAGGGTCTGTGCTGGGCAGCAGACCAGGAGCCGGGGACTGGGATAGATGGGATAGGCACAGAGCATGTGTCAAAGCAGGGCTCAGCTGTGTCGTAGTGGTTCATCTCTCAGGTGCCTGAACCAACTGAGAGAGCAGGGAAAGTCACACAGGATTCCTTCCTTGACCTATGGCCTGGCTGTGTACCCGGCCATCAGCAGCTATGTGGGTATAAGGCACCTCGCTCTAGGTCTGCGTAGTCTTAGGAAACAGCAAAGTATTTTACTTGCATCTTCCTCCATGTCAGTCACGTTTACCAGGCCATTAAATTCCTGTTTCCTGTGCTGACTGCCTCTTGCTGAGGCTACTTTTGTTGGTTTTTATTTTTAAAAAGTGTCCCAAAGTTACACAAGCTGGCCTGGAATTTACTTTTTACCTTCATCTCCTAAATAGCTGGGATTACAACCATGTAGGACTACACTTAACTCTGTGTGTGTGTGTGTGTGTGTGTGTGTGTGTGTGTGTGTGTGTGTTTCTTTTTTCAAACTTGGTAACTTTGTACTGAACTACATCCCTAACCCTTTTCCCTTTTTACTTACTTTTTAATTTTGGGACAGGGTCTCACCAGATTGCCTGGTCTGGGCTCTAACTTGTGATCCACCTTATAACATTCTCCAAGAGTGCTGAGATTATAGGCCTGTGCCATCATGCCTGGTTTTTGTTTTTTACAGCTGCTTACAGATTCCACATGTAAAGGCTTGCTGAGCGCTCTGGAGCCTTGTGTCCAACTATGCTATGGTCCAGCTCCTTGCATGCAGAGCTTTCCCTCTTCCTGATGGGCCTTCCCTGCTTTTTGAGCTCCTGCAGGTTCTTTGAAATAAGCTCCATGCTGCCACCTTGGAGATTTCCAAATAATAAAACTTCTAGCTTTCCTTTCCTAGAAGATGTTCAGCATTATCTCTGCAAGCCACTGGCCTCTGACAATGCCCAGAAAACACACCAAATTGGGGCTTGTGTATTTGGGCTGAAGTTAAAATCCCTGTCTGAGCTAGAGGATGGTGGATATTTTAATTTAAATTCAGGAAGGTCTCAAAGTAGGTGAATATTTTTCATTTTTAAAATAACATGTTGATTAAAGGAAATACGGAAAACAAATGGAAAGAAGAAAGTGTCTTAGTGATGTATTCCCCTCAAAGCTCTTCTTTGGAAGCTAGATCTTGGTGCAGGTTACAACGTGGAATTACTGGTAAATTTATGTGCTTTGTTGAATTTTCCTGCACAGGTATTGAGGGTTGACCTCAGGTTCACTCTGAGCAGTAAGCCGATGTCCCATGGCTCTGGGAGGAGGTTGTCCTGTCTCCTCTAGTGTGGTGTGGACCTGGCCAACCAGCAGGGGTCACCAACCACCCTCCATCTGGAGGGAACTTGGGAGCCTGGTTGGTTCTTAGGATGGTGGACAGCTTTTCAGTGTGGTCTTCGTGACTTAGCTCTGTGGCTTAGGAACTGACGTCTGATCCCCCTTCTTGTATTTCTGGGAGCCAGCCTGTCAACAGAGAGGGGACTCTCTGTCCTTGAGAACACATGCTGGTCTCTGCTCTCTGCAGAGCTCTTGACCCACTCTTCTGGTTCTCATGGGAAATGATTAAAAGGAGGCATCAGGCATATTTTTCAAAGAAAAATAGAGAAAGCTGAACCTAAGCATTCAAGAAGGGTAGGTTGCAAGTTCTGGAGAGGAGCATCGCACGTCATCAGGAGCTCGTGGAAAACTACTCCACCAGCCCCTCCTTGTCCCCAGCGCCTCCGCATGAACCTCTGGGATCAGCAGTGGAGAAGGGAGAAGTCTCTGTCCCCTCTTGGGCTGCTGTGTTGTCCTCCCAAGAACATCATCTGGGGAGCTCGGCAGCCCGCACAGCCTCTTCCCACAGTACAAGCTCTGTGCTTGGGCCAGGACAGTTGAAGTGTCCCCAAGTGTTGGAAACTTCATTGCCCCTTGGGGAGTGGTTTCCATGGAGCCTGAGTCCCACTCAGGCTATGGGCTTGGCATGCAGAGCTACTAGGCTGTCTCGGCTGCGGCTTTTGCCTGGTGCTTTGGTCTGCAGTATGCCCAGCTTCTCGTCCCGGCTTACTTGGCACCTCCCTCTCCAGAGACCCTGGCAGGCTCAAGTGCTGGGGAAGTGGGTGGTCTGGCAGGGCTCTGTGCAGGGCAGGGCTGCTCCAGAGTGCCTTGCTTATTGTCTGAGTGGCTGGGTTCCCTCTGTCCTGCTGTTAATCTTAGAAACAACCTGGCTCCTGCTGTTCCCTCTTCTTTAATTCTGCTAGGCCAAGATTCAGGGGCTGTAGATTGGAGTTTGCCAGACTTTCCTGTGCTAGGATGATGTCCTGGACCACAAGGGTCTTGGCCTTTGGCCATCTGCCTTGGGAAACCCTTCCTAGGAACCTGAGCCTAGGAGTTCTGCTTTGGTTGTATGAACCCTTCTAGAGCTAATGCCCGGTTACTGAGTGCTATGTGACTAGCCTGTCGGTAGCTCAGGTCTCAGGACTGGTGGGCCAGGCTGGCTAACTGGGTACCCACTAGAACTGGCTGAGGTAGAAGGAGGTTGCAGGTTTGGCCTTCCTACCCTCTTCCTCTCCTTCCTTCCCTGCCCCTCCAAAGGAGGTGCTGGGTATTCTGTTTCAGTCACTGAACCGTGTGAAAGGAGATGGCATAAACATAACTGTCACACCAGAGCCAAAGGTAGGGGCTTGGGGGCCCTCTGATGAACTATAAACACAGCTTTGGCTGCCTGGAAACGGAGTGAGTGAGCTGGGTGGAAGGCAGGTCTTGCTCACCCTCTCATTGATAGGAGTCCCTTATCTCTACCAAGCACTTTTCCATGGGCAAAAGCACCAATGTTTGTTCCTCAGCAGCCCCTGAAATGTAAGGACTAAGGCCTGGGTGTTGTGACTGTGCTGCAGACAGAGCCAAGTAGCTGGATCACATGCACCTGTCCAGCTAGTGACAAAGGGGACTCACCAGCAGGCTTCTCGCCTCTGGCTTCTTGTCCCAAACACCTGCTATCATCCCTTGGTGTGGCTAGGCTGAGATCTGTCCTCAGTAGAGGTGGTCCTCTGTAGAGGATCCCCTGGGTGGTTGACTGGTACCTCACTGGAAAGAGTGGTCCATGGTGTTAATGGGGACCACGCTGTCCCATGTCAGGAATGCAGTTTGTAGTGTACAATGATAGTGTACAATGACACTTCTCTCTCAGAATGCGTGTGCATTGGAGAGCCTGCGGCTTCCCCGGTCCCCAAGTGCAGTCTTACCCATCAGTATGTTTCACATGCTTTCTGACCTGCCCAGCTGGGCTCCAGGCTGAGGCTGGCCTTGTTCAGAAGGAAGCTGCATGGCTGTGGCTCTTGAGTTCCTTCCTTGTAATCTCAAAAATCAGATGCGAATTATATGGATACTAAGCTGACAGCTTTGTATAAAACCATTAAAATGAGGTTATGACCTTGAGAATTTCCTCAGAGCCCAGATGCTTCATACCAATGGTATTTTGCCTCCAGGACTGTCACTGCTCTGGCACTTTGCACCCTTGGGGCTGAGTGATTGTGGTCTTTACAAAGAGCTCCCTAGGAGCCTGAATTGCTTTTCCTAGTGGAATTCCATCCTA